AAACTAATAGCTCATTTTATATATTTAAAGAAGTATTAAAAAATAAAAGTACAAAAAATAAAAAATAATAATTTAAGAATAAAAACCAAATTTAAAAATTATAAAGTTAAATGAATGCATGCAAAAATATTTAATATGACATAAACCATTTTTTTGACTTACAGAAAATATGTTTAAAATCTAAATATTATTTAAATAAAACTCTTTGCAATAAAATAAATAAAATTCAATATAATAATAAAAAACGAAATAAAACAAAAAATAATCCAAATGACATCGACAAAAGTTGAAATACAATAATTAATTTTAATAAATAGTTTTAAATATTTTAAAAATTTAAATATTAATTAAATAGGGTAATAAATAATATGTCTATATAAGAATAGTATTTTATTTTAGCAAATAAAAAAATAATAGAATATAATTAATAAATAGAATTATTCTATCGCTAGTTTATGATTTCGTTTTATTATAACATAGCAAGTGAATTTGTTAATAAATTTTCATAGCAAATTAACAAAAAAAAAAAAAATTCCACGTTTGCATTTATGCTATATGACCTGTATATATACAGGTCAAGTACGGCACTGACTCTGAGCTACAAATTTGCCGGGCACGAGTTCAATTCTTCGTACTTGCAGTCTCAAAAACGAAATAAAAGAAATATTTTCAAATAATTAAATATAAGAATTAATTCTAAGACCATTACTGATCGGGATTTGGCAATACTTAAAATAGCTGTATGGTCAAACCAAAATTCAATTAATTGCAACGAATTAAAATAACATATAATTCGTACAAACTGTAAAATAATTTAGCAGTTCGCTATTAATAAGGCTTAAAAGAATTGTACAAAGATATATCTATATCTTAAAAACTAATTATACGTCTCTGATAACATAATTTTAACAAATATACATTTTCTGTTGTCAAACACCAATATTTACGAAGCCACACCACAATCACCACCGGGCTCTACGCTATGATATTCATCGTTGTTGAAATACAAACGATTAAAAAAAAATTGAAAAGTAAAACAAATTATAACAGGAGAATATATTCCTGGAAAATACGAGTTATAAACCAAATGTATTAAAATCATTAATTAAAATTAATAATTATTAAAATGTAACAATCAAAATTATTGTGTTGAAGATTAATACAAGACCTTTATGCCAAAGTGAATGAGAATCATAACTTAAGTAAGAATGCATACATATGTGTTGTGTTCATTTTTTAAGATAATTTGGCTAGGCGAATTATGTGAGAACAAACAGAACTGGTAAATCTGAGGCAGTGAAAATCCACAAGCAATTGTAATAACGATCGTTTTTATACGAACAAACACAAACTTTTCTATATTTTCAAAGGTAAAAAATCGTTATAATTTATTTATAAAGATAGGTATTAAAATGTAGACAAGATATTAAAATAATGTATTTTGCACCTTACCAATTTGTAAAAATATATTGAAATATACCATTTGATTGGTATATAAAATATATTTATATTTTTTGATTGGTGAATTGTTTAAATATAATACATTTCTAAATTATTTTTAAAAGATACCGTTGATTTTCTTCTTACCAATGAATGGACTGTAGTCTATAGATAATAGTCATCTATAGAGCACTGAATTAGCCAGCTCAAATAGATAAAAGTACAAATTCTGTTTATTTAAACAGTTAGTTTTAAAATAATAAATGAAATATTTTAAAAACAAATGTGGAGTTTAAAAACCGTGTACACATTATACACATATAAATATTTTTAGAAATAAATAATAATAATTTAATAATATAATTTCATCTATAGCAGGTCAATTATTGCTTAGTCTGATGAAGTGATAAACAATAATTTAGTCAAGATATAAGAGGGGTTTTCAAAATACCTCGATTTAAAAAAGAATATAAGTGCTTAAGTGCACTAGCTCAAAATAGCTTCAACATAATAATAATATAGCAGGTATAAACACTAAAAACATTAATTCATAATTACAACGAAAGATTGATTATTTTCATAATAAAAATCTGTTAAAGACTAGTTATAAGATTTTATAAATTTACTATAATAAATATCCATTAAAAGTTATTTGTGAGATTTTATAAATTTATTATAACAAATAAATATTATAATAATAAATAAAAATTTATTATAATGAAATATTCATTAAAAGTTTTTTATGAGATTTACAAATTTTTTAATAATAATTTTATAATAATTTGTTATAAGAAAAATACATTAAACATTAGTTGTGAGATTTTATACACTTATTATAATAAAAATCCATTAAATATTACTTATGGGATTTTATAAATTTTTAATAATAATTTTTTAACACTTTTTTATAATAAAAATCCATTAAACACTAGTTATGAGATTTTATAAATTTTTTATGGTGCTGGTATCTGCAAATTAAATCAGATTTTCAATTTAACATTTTGAAAGCGAGCGCACTTTCATAATTTCACAATAATCAGGCTTCCATAACCATTAAATGCAGTTTACTATCAAAACATCAGCAAAATTTGAGCAAATTTATTTTGCAAACCGGAAGATTCAAAAACTTCCTGTGCCACAACTCGTTGTACACTTCCGGCAACAAATACCAGAGCAATCAACAACATAAATGCCTACAACCGCTGCCTCCATTAGCAGTAATAAGGACACAAGCAGCACGTACTCGTAGTAGAGATAAAGACGATATAACTGCCAAAAATCGTCTCAAACATGAATGAAAGTCGTTCACACAAACAAACCAAACTTTTGTTACTCACAGCAGCAAATGAGTTGTGGCTGAGGTTGTGAGCTCCTCCGTTAGCAGAGCAGAGTATCTATTACGTTAGTTAACGTGTATCTTACTTTGTCAAGGAGTTTACCTTAATGTTGCTTGTTTGTCGTAATGGTTTTTTGGTCAGAATCACTAATGTCCTCTAGCATTAAGCAAATGTCGGTCAATTGTCATTTGGCTTATCAGTGAGCAAACAGCATTTGAAACTGTTAAATAAAGAAAGCTAAATTTTTGCTGAGAGGGGTTTTTTCACAAATTATTTTGCGGTCAAGGATAATTGAAATCAGTTTATTTTATGAGAGCGATTCTTTGCAGCTGAAGCTGTAATAAAAACTGAAGTAATATTTAATTTATATTTCATTTCAAAGTATTGAAAATTTTAATAACAGCTTCAAGTAATTAGACTTATAATATGTTTTTAAACTTTTCTGGAATTAGTTTCAAAGGATTAATCAATCGTTACCATTATAACTTGATATCGTAATTTGCACAAATCAACTTCAATTATTTATTGATAAACTCAAAAAAAGATGAGTGATTAATATCACTTCTTTTATTGCAAATATATTGATAATTAATTTAAGTACATATTTTATCTTTTTCATTTTGGTACTACAATTCTGACTCTCCCAAAACATGACTTTTATACTTGAAATCATTTTTCATTGAACTCATTTTACAACATTAAATGAACTTATTTAAATCTATGAAGCACTCCTAGTACGACGAGTACATCACCGCTAATGGACCTTTTTGTGTAGCTACATGGGGAGAAACATGGTTACAATGCCTCAAAGAATAGTTTGTTGTTGCTTTTTAAGTTAAACAATTTTTAGAAAGTTAACTTAAAGCCAAAAGCAAAGGAAAAAAATTGCAAACGAGCAAAAAGTGCATTTTGGCAGCTTTCCAAAGTGACTTTTTGGTTTTCGCTCATTTTTCTGTAGGTCTGAGTTGCTTCAACAATAGAAAGTAAAAATGCAGTAAAAAGTTGTTATCTTAAT